AAATTGTTGTATTTTTGCAGCTCAACTTTTCCAATGATAAAGGTAATAATATATAGTAAATATTATTATCATGGTGATAAATAATGAATGATAATGTTTCCAGTCGGAAGCATTTTCATTGATTTTTTTTCACCCATTACCAAGTGAAGAGTAATCATGCTTATGCCCCAGGTTGAGTATTCTGATCATCCTAAGATTCAGATTCATGTTTATCATCATGAATTAATGATTAGAATAATATTCTGGCCATGAGATGATTTTCGATTTGTCTTAGAATCTTCATAGTTATTTTTTTCTTCTTCTCTATCAAGAATAAAGAAACCATTAGAACCTTTTTTATTGAGAATTATGAGTTTGATGATGAAGCAAATAAAGGGAAAGAGGAAGATAAATACATGGGAGTTGCATGGAAATGAGAGAGAGAGAGAGAGAGAGAGAGAGAGAGAGAGAGAGAGAGCCAAAAAATCAGAATAACCCGAATTCATTGGACTTGAAACCAATGAGATTTTATTTCATCTTCATCATAATCTTTATCCTGAACATTTTCATCCTTACACTAGTTTTGTCATCATGAAAACTGATCATCATCATGAACAATAACAATGAAAATAAATCCAATTGTGATACACATGATGAACAAAAAATTCTACAACAATTAATATTTTGTCAAAAGAGAAAATTCCTAAAAATCCTAATTAGAACTATTCTCTCTTTTTTTTGTTCTAAATTTCATCGAATCCACATTTTCATGGTAAATAGTTTCCTATTTCTGATTACATGGTGCTAATAATCATTCATTGTTACATTGATTCAATTTGGTTTGTATTTTCATCTTAATGATTAACTCTCGTTGTTTTTGATTAACACAGGTCACAGCATCTTTTCAAATCGCCATTATCATCATTATTGTTATCATCTTTATCATCATCATCATCATCATCATCAGAAAAGGGCAAAGATAAAGAAGAAGAAGAAAAAAGTTCTGAACATCAATCGATAGTTATAATCAACACACAAGTCAAGAACCTCGAGATTTTGAGTAACCATGGAAACCAGAATTTTCTTTCTTCATCTTCCTCATCCTTTACCCCTTGGATCTTATAATGATGAAAAGGATGACGAAGAAGAAGAAAAAAATTCCAATGAATATCTAAATCTAATCAACAATTGATTACTTTCTCATCAAGTTTCCTGGCACAATAAAGGTTAACAATTGAAATGAGTAAATCTTGAATCTTAATCACCATCAAGACACGATCACAATCAAATTAATCAACAATCAACAACCAATTGATATTAACAAACACACACAAACACAATCAATATGATAAAATGGTAAACAATCAACTCATTTACTGGTAATTGTCTTAATAACAGCAACATGATGATTTTGTTTTGATAACAATTTACATTAATTAAGTGATGATAATCAAACATTGACTACAAAAGTTAAATTAACTTCAATCAGGCAAACAAAAAAAAAGTTGCCAAACAATTTACATGCCCTGAGGGCATTTTATTGTAATTTTCATTATGATGACTCATTAATTACTTACAATCATCACCTTAATCAACTGAAAAGGTAATAAACTTTTTTTTTCCTCATAATTTTCGCCATCTTGATCCGGTTCCGGTTGATTTTTTCATCTATTCAACACTAAATTGGACACAATTGGACCTTTTCAATTCAATCAAAAGAAACGGAAATTAAACCGGAACCAGAAACAGAAAATATATAAAAAAGAGAGAGAGATAAAGATTAAACTTACAAAAGAAATTATCAATTGTTACCATCATCATTATCTCTGATCACAATTACTGATTAATCAGTCGCCGATAATTATAACTTGAGAGAGACAAACATTTGATCAGCAATCAATAGACACTCTCAACAATTAATCATATTAATCTGTTAATCTAAATCTAAAACCTGAAAACCAAGATAATAAGACTAATCCATTTTCAGTGGCAAAGTGAGAACTGATTATCATCATCACCAGACAAAAGGATGAGGATGAGTTAGTTTTGCTCTCTCTCTCTCCCAATCATCAAATAAGGACGAAGATGAAAAAATAAAAGAAATACAAACATAAATCTCATTTATCCTCATCTTTCATCATCAACTCTCTCTCTCTCTCTCTCTCTTTCCCTTTTTTGATTGTCCAAATTGTTTCTTATTGTATCATCATCATTATGTTTATCTTCATCATCATTTCTTGATGAACCATCAACCAATGGATTATCTTAATTAAATGGTTACATTGGCATCGGTTGATATTAATCTTAATCTATTCTTATTTCATACTCTCTCTCTCTCTCTCTTCCTATTATGTCTCATCATCACCATCCTTTATATTCATTTGATTCTGATTATATTGTTTTTCTTGAACAATTAACCATAAACTTTTCATTCAATTTTGATTGAATAACAGCCATGAATCTGTGAATAGACTGATCATCATCACTTTGTTCATGGAAAATGATCTGAATAAAGTAAATTGTTGAAACTAAAATGGCTCTAATCATATTACTTTTATATGAATACAATGATTTGTATCATGATTTTCTTGTCTTCATTTTCATCTTGCAACTAAGTTTCAATGATGATCATGTTTATCTGTTCAAATATAAATACTCAAACATGTTCAAAGTTATCATGATGATGAAAATGTCCTTTGCTTGACAGAGCATAACTCAAATGATGATGAGGATGAAAGTGTTATATCAATGTATCTCATCATTGTAACTATTTTTTTCCTTCTACCGTTAAACTAACATTATCATTATCATTATGATTGTTTGATTGCTCTCTCTCTCTCTCTCTCTCTCTCTCTCTCTCTGTATATTTATATGCACTATTTTCTTATTTTTCATTCCCACTTTCACTCTTTCACCTCCTATGATGATAATAACGTTAACCCTTGTAAACTATTCATGTGCAATAGTGATAACGATGATAATAATATTATCTTCCAAAGGGATAGTTTTATCATCACCCAGAATCTTATTTCTTGTAAATTTTTCATTTCAATCTACCCTCAGGGTAAATTTAAGGCAGTGGAAAAAAACTCTCTCTCCCCCATTAAAGTAACTCTCAATTTTCTTGTTGATTTTCACTTCACCTTCAACTTATCAGAACCATCATCATGAATCCCCATGTAATATGTTTACTAAACTAATAACAACTTTACTTTTTTATAACCAATTCAATATAAATATTGATATAAACACACACACACTCAGGGATTTGATGATAATGTGTGTGTGTGGTGGGCTTGGTTATTTCCCACCCCACCATCAACACTGTCCCACTTTTTTTTGATTAATACTTGATGATGATTATTCATTTCCATCTTCAGTAAACCTCTGATTACATGGTAGGTTAATCATGATAAAATTTCAGATTCCATTTGAATAAGATGTTGAATTTATCTGCTATATTCAGTCTTGGAATCTAAATTAACCTGGTAAACTTAATTAACACTTTTACAATCAGGTTAATTCATGTATCACACAAATCCAAAATTAATTAACCCTCTTATAATTGTCAACATAATAAGAGGTTAAATCCTTAAGCTTAACTTTTATTTAGATTATTAAATCACAAATGATTAACATGATTAAGATACATGTTTATAAATTAATGTTTACCATGCAATCATATTGATTAAACAATTTTCTTAAATTATATCACAATTAGTTAAATTGTTATGTCTTCTTTAAGCTCCTTTAGTAATACAAAACTCATTTGGTTTTACAATTAAAGTTAAATTGGTTAATGTTGTTGGTTCAATCCTATTGTGATTATTTGATTCATACTTCAACATTGGAAATTGATTGTTGCTAATAATGAAAACAATTATCATTACGATTAACCTTCACATTGATAATCATTATAATGAAATTGAATTTCAAGGATAATTAAATGTCTAACTACTCGTAGTGAAATTATCAATAGATTTGATTACAATGAGCATTGTAGATGTAATTTAAATTCATAAATTGTTTGGAATCTAATATTGCAGTTAATTGATAACCATCAGAATTTCACAATTAATTAATCTTGTTTGATCATTTTCTTAATGATCACAATTGATTGAAAGTAAACATTTACAAGATATTGATCAGATTGATGAAACTTTCTGGATAAACTGAATACCTTTGAATGTATTTCCCACCTTGACTTCATACTGGACCTCCTTTTGATTTTTACTTGACCATCATGGGAATGACAATGAAGACAAATGACCATTGAACTGATAACAAATATTATCATTTATTAGATTGAATTAACTCTTAAGTAATGACTATTAGCTGGAATGGGGTTGGAATCTATTATGACCATTGGTCAGTTTGAGAAACATTGTATCACAATAGTTAACCTCCCAATCAACAGTCAATTTTTTTTGAAGCGCTTTGAAATTTTTTGATTCAACATTGAATCAAAGTCATGAAGAGAAATGAGAAGAAGCTTCAAAAAGCAAGAAATGAATTATAATTGATTCATCTATCGCTTTAGCTTTTGAATCCAAATTAATTTTTCAAATCACAATTTTACAGAATCAGAAACTATTCTACTGATTTTTAGATTATTTTCTTTAGAATAATCTAAAGAATCGAATCTCAATCATGATTGTGATCAGAATCTTAGCGAAGAAAGTGGAACCGGCCTTAGAAAACTCTTTAGAAAATTGTTTTATTTTGACATTGGAAATTATTCAGAATTTGATTAATAAGGAAGATTAACAATAAGATTCCATATGAATATTGAACGAGATAATAGTAGTTTGGAATTTGAATTTTTCTTAAAGAATCTGAAAAGTTGAAAGTATTAAATTGCTAGAAAAGAATAGAAAATAGATTTAGTAAGAAACTTTGAATTTGAAGGAAATTAAACTGAATTTGTGTGAGATCATCGAGAAGGAAACAAGAAATTCAATTATTGGAAAATTAATTAATTTCCATTTCTTTGATTTCCTGAGAGAAATCCATTGCTCCTCTCCAAGATCATTGTTTTGAATATTTTCTTTCCAGTCGAATTTTCTCCTTCCAGAATATTTTCATGATGAATTGAATCTTGTTCGGAAATGACACGATTGTCCAAGGAAACACATATTTCAATTTTCGTTTCCAGAATAATAATCTCCTCTAAATAGATTTGAAAAAGAAAATAAATCAATATTTTGTTCACCATTGGAAAAAAGATTCTACTCACCGATTGATGTTTTGTTTTCTATTTTTGTTGATAATGAAGCTGCTGATTTGATTGAAATTGAATCCATTGTTTGATTTTTTTCACACGAACTTGTTTGCATTAGAATTTATGAAAATGTTGATTTTACACTTGGCGAATGAATTGGATATTTTTCAGTTGATGAAATGTTATTTGTTTTGGAGAAAAGGAACGATAACAAAATTTGTCTTATTTGTCCAGTGAAAAGAGATACTGTTGATATGAATACACTTTGTAGATACACTTTCGATTTCAACACAATGATAATTTGTTGATTCTTTTATAATCGCAAACGTGTTGTCCAACTTGAATGAAAAAAAACCAGTGAATCCGTTGAAAGAAAGTGAAGTGACTTTTGTCTCAAGTTGTCGACAAATAAATAGAACTTTGGCTTTAAATTCACAAATAGCTTCCACTGAATAAAATTTTTCGTCTGAGCGTATAAAAGCATCGTTTCTTAGCTTTTTCTCGCAATAGTTACGCGTTGAATATCTTATTCCTCGAAATCTGATTGTTTTGAAAATTTTCAAATCAATCGGATTAACTTGAACTTCATATTTATCATTTAAAACTTCAATAATGATATTAATCATTTTATCTGGAATCTTTTCTTGGACAAGTTTTGTTGTTTTAGAATCTTTTTCATCTAGACCGAAGAATTTTTTCTCTTTCTCGACAAGATTCCATTTCTTGATTTTTGTTTCAACATATTCTTTGAATCGAAAATCATTCATGAAAACTCGAATGAGAGCGGGTCCAGCGTGTGAATATCGTCTAACTTTAGATTTCAATTGCCCCATGTAATCTTCCAATGGATAGGAGGAGACATTTGAATTAGGACCGAGAAATTTGAGTGATTCACTGATGTGTGAGAGAATATGAAGATTATAAGATAAATATTTGGATCCAAAAAGAGTTGATGTACCTTGTTGAAATTCTTCAACTAAATTGTTGATTTCGCTCAAAACAGACTGACCAACGGGTCCAATGTGGGCCAGATAATAAATTCTTGCTAAAGTTGATACATGTCGAATGACTGGTAATTTCAATAATCCATAACTTGTTGGGTAGAAATAGTAACTCAGAAATGTATCAAATTCACAAGATTTCCAAAATTTAAGCTGGTCTAAATGTCTCGGGGTTCTTGGCATTTCTGTAAGACCTTTGATCTGAATCAAACGCTGGCTCATCTCTTTGATGAAAATTGTTCTTGTGATATTTTTCGCGAAAATGTTTACGGCATCAGTATTAATGATTCCATTCAAAAGTTTCCGAAAAACCCCAAGGCTTATGCTGTGCATTGGTTCAACTGAAATGCCTCTTACAATGTCAAAATCATGTAAACACAGCAAGGGAGAGATTCCATTTATACCATTGAAGCGATTGTTGGAAGGAGGAAGATGATTTTCATTATTTTCGAAATAATCTTTGAAATCCATGAAATCTTTTTTCTTTCTAAGTAATCGATTAATTTCTTGTTGTGAATGATTATGAAATTCACGAGCCATGGCACCACCAGCCTCAATTAGGCACCAATCACAGCCATATCTGTGATTATATTGTCTAACTTGTCTAAGGTATGCGCGCATCGGAGCATCGGCAATCAAACATATCAAGTGGAAAGTGAATTTTTTCTTTTTCATACCCTCGATAGAACAATCAACTGGATTAGATGAAAGTAAATTAATTTCTTCCACAATAGGTCCAAGAAATGAACCAACATTCGGTTTATTTCTTCCAACATGTAAGCCAACGAGAAAGAAAAATTTTTTGCGATGGTGAGATTTTAGCTCATTCAAAGAAATGAAAACTGGGAAAATTTTTGTTGATGAGCTTTTAGAACAAGAAACTTCGTCAGCGTGTAATGTAAGTGTGAGTTTTTGAATCAATTCTGAAGAAGAGCTTTTAATTTCTCTGGCCAGGTCTGAATTAGATATATCTCGCATAGAATTGTTTTCTTCATCGTCCAATTGCCAAAAGTCTTTTTTAATTAGAGGAAGATATTTTTCCAACTGTTTTCGGAGCAGAATATGTATGAAATAATTTCCATTACCAAGAGAAACAGGAAAACTTTCACCATCACAAATGTAGTCAGCGAATTTTCTAGGCTCACCAGTATACGGACCGTGTGAATGATTTTTGTCGCAAAGCAGATACACATGTATTGGGTTATCTTTGGTTCTTTTCCCAAAATGACGAACACTCGGAAAAGTTATTCCCGTTGAAAGAAAACGCTGGTTTACACAATTGAAAAGATTCACAACAATATTTGTTGAATTTAAATTACAACCAGCATGGGATAGAATAGCAAGGAGAGTCGCTTCAATAAATTCTTCTTTAGACGGAATTATTTCTAATGGTTGAGCGACAGAATTTTCTTTCGAAAACATTGATGATTCACTTCCGTCTAATGAACTATTTGCATCACTTTCACAAACAGAATTATTTCCACTATTTACTGAGCAAATGAAAGATGATTGATCTGAGTCAAAATCTGAGTCAAGATTTGGTAGATTTTGAAGATAAATTTGTTGATTTAGCTTGTGAATTTTTCCTTGTTTTCTCGTCGATACATTATAAAGAGATACAAAGTAATTGTTTTCACCAAAATTAATTAAATTTTAACACAAATAAATGAATAATTAATATAAATTAATTATTAACACAAACAAAATTAATTCTTAATGTTAAAAGTAAACATCAATGTGTTTCTTTATCTTATCTTTAGAAAAGAATATTTTTTATTCGATTGTTGCTTAGCAACAATCACGTGACAAGAAATTGACCAATCACAAGCTTTCGAAAAAAAAAGTTCTTTTTTTAAATGTTCTTTTATCACATGTGATTTCCTTCCGTAAAAGATAAACATTCACACGTTTTAATTCATTTTAATTGTTATTTTCATTTTAAATTCTGAAACAACAACTTTTAGTATTATTTTCATTGAGAAAGTTTTCAGTGAGTCTTAAAATCAACTTGTTTTTACAATTGAGTGGATGGAAACACGTTCAAAAGAAAATTGAATCAGTTCAAGCGTATTACGCCAAGAACACCGAAGTTCTGTTCAAATATCATTAGAGATCAATCAACTTTAGTAGGATCTTTCTTAAAACTCATGGAGAATCAAAATCTGTAATTGCTGTTGTTCGTTTATCCCAAAAAATAAGGAAATGAATCTCAAAAGACAAAATGGTTCCGATATGTTTTAAAGTGGAAAAGGAACAAATTCGGAAGAATTGAAAGAGCGTCAAATTCATTGTAAAATTTGATAACAATTCAAGTTCCTGACTGCAATCCAATCCAAGCAATGATTGTATCAGTAGGAGGTAAGTCTGAATTTCATCTAATTCATCTGATTCTAATATATCTTTCTTTTAGACGATTCTATTCAACTCTTTGAGAATTATGGTCTTTTCATCAATGAAGCAAAAAAGAAAGATATAAAGAACTTAGAAACAAAGATAAACGACTGGCTCAGTATGGAAGGAATAAAGATTTCGAAATTTCAATCGAAAGGATTGCCAGTCACAAGTGATCTTGATTTCGAGAAAATAATCAAGAAAACCGACGAAATTTCCAACAATCAACAAAAAACAAAAACAAAATCTTCACCTTCAGTTGTTACCGTTGATATTTCTTGTGATGATTGCTCATCAGAATCTAAAACAGAGAGAAAAGATTCTGATTCTGCTAAGTTATCATCAATCAACTCTCATTTGAAAAAAATCAAAGATTTGATTTCAGATCAAATGGATCCAAAAAAAATCAAACAAGCTTTCGATGAGATTCTAAAAGTCTTGGAATCAATTGTTCACCTTAAAGAGTACAAAGAGCTTGTCAAACCAAACCTTTCCACTAACATTGGTTTTGATATACAAGGAATTAGATATATTCCTGAAAAGGATCTAACCCATGAAGCGGGAACACTAACATTCATTGAAGGAATTCTTCCCATTGCAACTTCTCATTACAAACAAGCAATGGGTGCTGGTCACGGTCGTGGTATCCAACCTTCAACGATTTTGACAAATATCATAAGATTCTCGTTTCCCAAACATTGGCTTGTTGGTGTTACTCTCAAAGGAACAGGTGGTAACACAGGATTAGCAGCTATTTGGAATTATTCTGATCCTCTCAAGTATCCATGTCAAGGAGCTTATGAAGATGGCTTAGGAGAAAGGAGAATTCGGGCATTATTCGGTGAGTTTATCAGAATTTCTATGAAATTGGTATTTTTTCTAATTTTAATTTGATTTTTTCTGCTCCAATAGATCATGTTATAAGAAAATCAAAAAGAACATCATATGATCGCAGTCACGAGCAAACCCTTGTTACTAATATGTCCAAAGCGATGAATAATAAGCGGAACAAAATTGCTCCATCAACATCTCATCGCAGGGATCAAAGTCCTATGGACGAAAATTCCAATACAAGTGAAGGAGATGAAGATATTCGTTTGGCTTCAATGATAAACACAACCATTCATCAAGCAAGAAAAAATATCAGACGACGAAGAAGAGTCAGCAGCTTCAGAAAAGATTCAAAAAGAATCTTCAAATGATTTCAATTTCTCAGACTTTGGAAGTGATAATCAAGACGGAGAAACTAGTTCTGATGAAAAGGATAAATCAACTTCTGTTTCAGCATTTGACGCTATGAGAAACAGCCCAACCGTCAAATCCAAACTTTCAACATCCATTGAAAGATTACCAGATAATGCTGATGCAAATGAAAATGATTCAACTAAACCGACTGAAGATGATAAAATTCCCCCAACAGATGAAGAAAATATCGTTATGAATCAACAGGCTGTTAATGATGATGAACAGATAACCAACGCTGAAAATGAATCTATTCAACAGGAATTAGATCTTTCAATCTCACGATCTGCAAAAGATTCAAGTGATATTGATAATGCTTCAAATTTTGGTACAGATTTTCCTTCATCACAGTACAGAATTTCTACACCGAAGCTTTACCGTGATGAGGAATATTCAAATCAGATATCAGCTGATTCTGGAGTTGTTTCTGAAGAATCTATTGCTGGACCCAGTGGAAATTATTCCTCAACTAGGAAAAGATCTTTGGATTCCGACGAAAAAAAGATAGTGAAGAAACTGCGCTCTTCACGTATCTCAGACGATGAAACTGATTCGAGTAATCTATCTACAACAAATGAATCTTCAGTTTCGACTGTCGTTGATGATTCTCAGAAATCAGTTCAACCACAAACTGCTCTGAACAATGATCAAATTGAAGCTGTCAAAGCTTTACTCGCTTCAAATCCGGCTTTTCTGGCTAATCTCATCGCTTCTCATATGCCAAAATAATTTCAACTGAATTCAAGGTCAGAATTTATTCAATTACAAATCAAATTATTATCCAATCAAAGGTACAAATTTCCTTCTCATATTTCGTATTTTTCTCAATTAATCAATTCAATCGTTAAAATTCAATAGAATTTAATGACATATTTATTTTCCTATTATTGTTACTTGTTAAAAGTTCATACATTTCACACTTTGTGTTAAGTATCAGAAATATTTCAAATTTAACTTTTTTGTTGATTACAAGGGTAAAAGAAAACTTTCTTCCCTTATGTCCATTTAACTTTTTGAAAAATTCTTCTTCAATAAAATCATCAGCATAAACCAGTTTTTAGTATCATTTTTTCCTCTTAATCTTGTCATCATTTTCTTTGTTAAATCTCATCCATTGATATTTCAATTGTTCCGAAATGTCACAAAAGTCTCGACAAAAATCAATTTCTTTAAATAGTGAAATAAGAACATTTTCATCACAGCCTAGAACTAGTCTGGAACAGTCTCTAAATAGAAATCTAACAAATAATTTACCTCATTCGTCTGATAACACGAGGAAAACCGGAAGTTATGATTCTGGACAAACTAGTGCGACTAAAAATTCAATTGGAAACAATTCAACGAATAATAAAAATGGCCAAGGAAAATGTGAAAAAGGTTTCTGTTATGCTATTTTGTTACCCCACATTTACTCAGAAGACTTTGTGATGAGGAAACAACCTTTCTTAGTGAAAATCAGTGAAAATCAATTACTTGAGTTTGGTTTTAAATTACCTTTCGATGATATATTTGATCCAAGAATGAATAATTTCATCTTCAATGTGCAAGGCCAAATGCTTTCAGCTCAAATAATAGCAACTTCAGGTGAGTTTAAACTAATTTATATTAATCATTTTATTTGATTTGCAATTGATTTTTTTCCATTACAGATAACTCCGTTGATTTGAAAAAGAACTTGAGAATAAATGTTGATTGTAATGAAACTTGGAAAATCATGAAAGGGTTGTTGGAAATTCTCGATTAGTTTTGTCACTAGAACACCAGCCATTGGAAATAGGTGAATCACCTGTTAAGCACGTTTTCAGTGATAAAAATTCAAAGAAGTAATTCAACATTTCAAAGAAAGTACGAGAAATGAGATTCAAGAAACTGAAATGATTCAACGGAAAATAACTCTGCAGACAAAGAAGAGGTTGAAAATCCTACTGAAAGTGGGAACCAAGTCAGAAATAATAAAATTTCGAGTGATGATGGGGCTTCAAAACTTCCTGAAAAAGATCAAGACGCAATCAAACAACGTTTAGAAATTCTGA